CCCCCCCCCCCCCCCCCGCCCTATCGAAACGTTCTTTGCTGTTTATTAGGGACAGAGCCAGGCCGCTCCGGCAACACCAGCACCAGCACCAGCAGCGATACTACGGCGGCGGGGCGAGGGACCGGAGCCGGGACCGATCGCACGGAGGCGCTTACGGTAGAGACCGAGACTGGCCGCCGTCGTCGATGTCGTCGTACAGCAGAAACGGGGGGGGGGCGGGCGGAGACCGCAGCCGGTACCGGAGGGACCGGGAGAGGAGCCGGGACCACGACAGGGGCCCCCGTGATTCCTACTCGCGGAGGGGGCGGCGGGGTAGTCTGGAAGACCGGGGTCGGGAGGATGGAAGCGGGGGTCGGCGGGATCGGGACAAGCCGTCGGCAGGGCGCGGCGGGGACGGCGGTGGGCAAGGGAAGGAGGGGGGGGGCGCCGCGGTCGATTCGGCGGCGTCTCCGGGGAAGAGGTGGGTGGAGGTAGTCTTGTCCGTGTGCCGTGAATGTAATGCGTATTGCCGTTGATCGATCGGCTAGCGCGGTCGAGGTGGAAGTAATAAGCACACCCGTCCGACGAGCCAGCCGTGTGTTTATGCATAAATTTAGGTTGTGTGTTTCGGAAGAGAGCTCACTCCGTGCAAACCCCGCTCCGGCTATGCGACGTCCTGTCGGTTGTGCGCAAACTTCCATGAAGCACGCCAGGAATCAAGGCGACGCCCAGTCTATCTGCGAAGTGTAGGAATCGCCGTCTTTCTTTTCTTGTGGTTGTGACATTGACATCGCTCCGCACGAGGGGTGGTGGGCATGGCTTGCCTCTGAAGATGTCTCGTCGAGTTTTTGCATGGAACATTCATTTTGGTCGAGTGCGGGACAAGGGGGGTGATGCTGCTGCTGTAGTCGATTTGTAGTGTGTGGGCGTGTAGTTCAGTTGTGAGCACGCAAGCGTGCTGCAGGGATTGCAGGTGTACCTCCTCGGTCTTGTGTACCCTTTTCTTGCTAATAGTGTGTGTGTGTACTTCAGATCTTCTGATGGCTCGAGCATTTTCGTGACCACGGACCGAGTCTTTGCTAGATTTTGGGATTAGCAACTGACACGAAGGAAACAACAACAACAATGGTACAAGAGGTCTACGGTTGTTACGGATCTCAGCACACGGTCCCTACTTCCCGTGCGTGTGATCCTTACGATCAACCAGGTGTCTAGCGGAGAGGCAAGCTACTGTCAGGTTGTAGGGTGTTTTGTCAGATTCTCGTGTGTCTGGTCGTGGTCCGGCGCCTGCTCTCACGATTTTCCTTTCGTGGTGCCCTGCTGGCCGTATTTTCGGTGGATACCCTGTACGACACAAGATAACACACCCCCTTGGACCGATTTTCAAAGCTCGATTCCTCAGCAGCTGAAAGAGTCACAGCGCCGATAACGGCGGCGTTGAAATCCTCTCGTCGCAAGCTCTCCGAAGACGTATCGTTTCGTTCATGCATCCTCTTCGTAGAGTAATCGAGCTTTGAAAATCGGTCCAGGGGGTGTGTTATCTTGTGTCATATACTGTACCTTCTCTCAGGGCTTTCGGTTCGTCGATGTATTTCCTCTCATAACACCCAACTTCTGTGTCATTGCTGGATAATTGCTCTCACGACCCTCCTTGCGTTGCAACCTACACCGACAGTGTGATCGTGAGACACCTGCTCCCGCGAACTTCCTGTTGTCATGCCCTACTGGCTGTGTCCTTCCCCCTTACCTCTTCGTTGTCTTTGTTGTTGTTGGTGGTGGTCGTTGTTGCTGCCGTCGTGTTTTTTCTCGCAGTCGATGTCCTTCCCCCTCACCTCTCTTGTCGTCGTCGTCGTCGTTGGCCATGCTATTGCCGTCGTTTTTCTCGCAATCGATGCCCTTCCCCCCACCTCTTGGCTATCGTCGTCGTCGTCTCTGTTGTTGTCGTGTATTTTTCTCGCCATGATGTCCTTCCCCTTCACCTCTTTGTTGATGTCGTCGTCGTCGTTGCTGCTGCCGTCTTGTTTTTTTTTCTCGCACAGCGGTAGCGACGGGAAGGAGGAGGCCAAGGCCACTACTGCTGCTAGTACCAAGGCAATCGCGGTTCCCGGTAGCGTTATCACCGTCGTCAGCGACTCCGCCAAAGGAAACGACACAGCACAGAAAGGTAGGATATCAACAAACACGCCTCGAGACACAACAGACAGCACGTCTCGCCTTCGATTGCTGTGGTTAAATCTTGAACAAGTAGTCTCTCTGTGATTGTATGCGCATTCCTTGACAGCGAAGAAAACGACACAGCACAGAAAGGTAAGAAAACGAAACACGCGAGGCGTGGCAATTACCCCCTACGCCCTGGTCGGTACCCTGGGGTGCGAATCAGCAAGCGATGCACGAAGAATTCACACTGCCCCTGCTGATTGACTAACAAGAATTCTTTGTTCATATGAATGGCCTGAGAATGAAGGGGTCGGTTAGTAACACCGTGACGACCCACATACCGTATATGACACAAGATAACACACCCCCTGGACCGATTACTCCACGACGAAGAGGATGAATAAACGAAACAATACATTTTCGAAAAGCTCTCGACGAGACGTTTGTTTTCAACGCCGCCGTTTTCGGCGCCGTGACTCCTTCTGTTGCTGAGAAATCGAGATTTGAAAAATCGGTCGAGGGGGTGTGTTATCTTGTGTCATTTACGGTACACGTCATCCGTTTCACAATATTGCACACACACGCATCGTCCCAGTGAAACGTATCCTGCGCCGGCGAAAACCTGGCATATCGCTCACCCCCCGGCATTGTAGGGATGCGAGGTCTATGGTCTAACGACTACGGCATCCACGGCTTTGATTGAGTACACCATCCAACCACTAAGGCATGCGTTTACATGAGTATTCCCCACCTACCCTCCCTATGGTCAGTTGTCCAACAACTATGACATGTACAATATGAGCAGCCCCCCCCCCCCCCCCCCCCCCCCCCCCCCCCCCNCCCCCCCTATTTGATGTTGCCTCGGGAGACAGCCAACCTGCCGGACCTGCGGACGGTGATCGAGCGGTCCCGCCGCCGCGGGAAGATGAACCCCTCTCGGGGACAAGAGGAAGAAAAAGGGGAGGGAGAGGGGCCTGTGGTGGCGAGAGGGAGGATGGCGGGGGCTCCGGGGGTCATGCGAGGCTTTTCTCCTTCGGGTAAGGAGGGTGAAGAAGAGGGGAAAAGAGTAGTTATTGCAACCCTGCTTGTGGTGGTGCGTAGAGAGAGGGGTGCATGCCATAGTCGTTAGACCATTGACCTCGCATCCCTACAAAGCCGGGACGGAGCACGCCGGGTTCTCACCGGACCAGGCTCTCACATCAACAAGCGCGAAGCGCCGTGAGATATTCGGCGAGTCGCATGAAGGGTGCGCTGCATCCTGCCAAGGGTTTTCGGCATCTTGTGCTTACTTCCTTGCGTACGGATGACAGCTGCTTATGACTTTGTTTATTTTCTGGTGCTTTAACTTCCTGAGACAGTTGTAAGCNAAACGGTAACCTGGTTGCCGAGTTCACGAAGTGAATCGGCTTGTTTTACAACGTCATTGCCAAGCGACGAGAACCCAATCCCGGTGGCAAACACCGCGCGTCGAGGGGGGG